TTTGATGTCAGGTTTTTGATGTCAGGTTAACTTGTGTGATGTCAGGTTTAACTTGTTTGTAGGTATTGTCTTTTGGAAAAACGTTGATTTTGAGCCAACCTGTTCGGCAGTGGCAATATCCTTTGAGGACTTCTCTAACCTCAGCTTGTTCTGCAGGTTACTGATCTCTTCCTGAAATCGACCAAAAAGGAAACAAACAAACAAACACACCTCGTCAAATGAGAAACCCCAGACACATTCCTGCATTAAAGTTAAATCAACAGCAAGACAGGAAGAGAAGCTTCAGGAGAAAATGAGGTGGAAAACACAATGCAATAACTAATTTTAAAAAAAATGCAAAACAAACGTTTAAAGAACTGGGGCAGATCTAAATTGAGACCCCCAAACTCTCAATGCTAGATTTATTGTTTAGTGTGACAGGCATCTAAAGAAGGAAGCTACTGCAAATTTTTTTTCAGAAACCAGCATTCCCGTTATCATTCTGTTGCTTTTGATAAATTAGTATGCAAAAATAAACTCATTAAACCCACATAAACAGAAACATCCAAGACCTCAAACATTTAAAGAGTCTTTTGAGTTGAGCCTAACTAACTACCAACAAAACACTACTGATTCATTCATACAACAGTAACCACACCATCAAAACTCTTAGACGGAGGGGAGAGGTGAGGAAGTGGTACCACACACTGACAAATACCCTGACGAACACACCCATTCACAGACATTGCCACAAAGAAACTAGAAAAGTCAATGACCACGAGAAGAGCTTAGTGTACAAAAGTGATACCTTGATCTGGGAAGCTATTATGCTCTGGGGGCAAAAACAGAAAGAATGGAATTTCTTCATATCGGACGCCAACGATGGAAATGATTGCAAAAGAAAGACAGGAAAAGCTTTTGACAAGGAAGAGTGGAAACTCAGAAAGTTAGTAGCATCACATCTCAAAACCAAGTGGCTGAAATTCTACAAGAATGTTATTCATTATCTCCTTCATACCACTGGAAAATTCAGAGTGGCAAGTAATGACAATGCTTTTCTACAAAGAAACAAGTTAAACAGACTTAAACAACAGTGACCCCATCTCCCATGATTAAACAGAAATGGTGTCAGCAGTGGGATAAAGTTTCTGTTGCAACCACTTAACTACTTCATGCTGGGGCATTTTTCAATGTTGATGATGCTGGGCCGGCATGACTATCATTTTTTCCGTTTTCAAAATCCTTCAAAAATTCACCATTTCATTTAACGGTCGTTTATAGCCGCACCAAGTAATCTTTAGGCACTACTCTAAGTTGACAGGTGACCTTCATTGACGCCTGAGTATTTCAGCCAGGCCAGCAGCCTTGTAAACAGAGCCCAGATTGTGCGGTGTTGTATAACTGTCTTTTGTTCACGAACCTGACTTAGTGCACCGCTGACCTCTTTTCAATAGGGGCCAGATTAGCGTGCAGCGGTGCTGTGTGGCTCATCGCTGCGGTGGTGGAGTGCTTTTGTCCCTGGTGGTAATCCGCTTGCTCTCAATGCCCCAAACCCTGGTATACGGTTTCAAAACAAGGCTGGATTATCACCACTTTTGAGAGTGAAAAATGTCGGTAATGCCCAGCAGCCTGGTCTTTTGTTCGGAGTACGGTCTTTTGTTACAGGGCCCTGTTTCCTTTGTCCGAGTTCGGTGACCCCAGCCACCTATATAAACCATACGTCTCCAATCCCGGAGTCCCCGGCAGGAAGTGGTTAATACTTGTGCTCATCCCATCATGATTTTTCTGGTTAACCTCTTGAGAAACAGGTGACCTATCTCTCCACTGTCTCTCAGATGTAGCAAAAAGCTTTGGAAATGGTTTGAGTGGTGGCAGAGGTGGGATAAGATTAGTTCCTCACCTCATACTGTTTCTTGAGCTCTTCTATTTCATCATCAAACCTCTGCTTTTCGAGGGCAGCTTTCCTCTTCCTCTCTGACAGACTCTGTGATGAGGCAAATGGTTTAAAATTCCAATTACTTTTTGCACCAGTTAAGTACTTCTCCAGATAGGAAACAGGTAGTGTCATTTATACAAAGAAGGAAAATTCCCAACCAAATTTATTCCTCGACACCAAATCACCTGGAGAGACAATGTGGCTTCCTTTAAAACAGCAGCGGAAACTTCCATATACTACCCAGAGAGTCCATCACAAGTCATTCAGTCTTAAGCCAATTCACAAGCTGTTCAAATGAACTGTAATAAAAGCATTCCTTTATCATTGTTCACCCTGTTACTTATGACGCGCCTTGTGAAGGGACTTGTGATGGACTTGAATACAACACTGAAACTACCTACAATAAAAATCAAAAAGTTTAATGAAGCACTTGCAAAAGAAGGCTCTGAAATCTCTGTTGGGCTTCTGGCTTTTCCCCCAATTTTGTCATGCTCTTTCAGAAACACTTTGCAAAAAATAAAGACAAAGATGTTGGCACCACACTAGACAACTTCTAAAGATTGATGAAAATTACCGGCTTACCTTGTCGATTGTTTCCTTCTCGCTCTTCAGGTCGTTAAGTTCCTCCTCGATGACGATCAGCCGGTTGCTCAGTGACTTCTTCTCTGCCTTCTCTTCCTTGAGGTTCCTAGTAAGCTCGGTTACCTTCCAGTCTGAGTCTGTTAGCGAGCAAAACAGAACAAATACCTTAAGATCAGAGCTTGCAAAACCAAATGTTCAAGGATGTTGATGCTTTCAAGAGAGACTACATAACATAAAAGTAAATGAGTAGTTTACTGTGAAGATCATAAATCCACTATTCCAACAAACTTCAAAAGTTGCAGCAGTACAGCGCGTCTGCAACCTCGGCAAAAAATTCTAGGCTTGCTCCCCTCTCACCTTGCTGTTTGGTCCGCATGGCTTCCATCTCTGACAGCTGTGACTGGGAGGTGTTCAGCCCGTGGTCCAGTTTGGTCTTGAGTTCGCTCTCTCGCTGCTGGACCGCCGACAGCTCCATCTGGAGGGAGCTGATCTTGGCAGTGGCCTTGCTGAGGTCTGCCGTCAGCTGAACCTGGGGTGAAAGGGGACAGTGTGTTGAAGTAAACACTCAACAGTCAACGTAAGGCTGAGAGTGTTCAAGTCCTTTTGTATTTACATGTATGCTATCTACAATGTCTGGGACACTGGATCTAAATGTGAGTGGTGTAAGACTCGGTGCACAAGTGGCCCACCCCCAATTGGTAACAAAGAGAGAGAGAGTAGGCCGATACTGGAGTGTCACTGGTACCCTGCACCTGATCCCCACACAGTGATCTTTCAATATCAGTATGTGCAATTTGCAGATGATGAGAACTTGTGCCTGCTCCATGCCACGCATGAATGCCATTGAAACAAATGCATGCCCCGATGCTTGTTGGACCAAATGGACTCATTCTCAGGTGGTAGCAAACTCCAAATCATATCTACCTGTGGTTACGGTATCATACGTCTGAAGGAGCTTAGAATAAACATCATGAGGTAGCCTACTTGCTGGATGGGAAGCTGTGCAACATGGGATATGGCAAACCGGATATGAAGGGGCGTGACGCAAACTAGAATATCCTGAGTGAAGGACTAAAGATATCTGATGTAAACTAGGATATCCTGGATATGGGATCTTGGGCAAATTGCCAGATAAGCCCATGTGCATGTTTCTTAAAGGGCATAAGGTAACCTGGGGTATCACAGGATCTGCAGGTGCATGTGACATGAATTGGGCTATCCCGGCTCTAGAATCTAAAGGGGTTTGGAACCGACTGGATATCCAAAGTAAAGAACCAGTCCTCACAACACGAGGTATACATGGGGAGTCAGGTTGGCATAGAGGTTCTTTCCTTGCCCTCCACTTCTGCGGTCCGGGTTCGATTCCTGGCTCAGTCCACTTGTGGATTGGGTTATCAGTCCCTACCTGATTCTGTGGGTTTTACCCAGAATATTCCTCTGGGGTTTTCCACCCAACTCTAAAGCTTTCACTACTTCTCGTTTCAATGTGCCGGAGTCTTCAAGTGTATGAAGTGGGCGCATCACTTGGAGGAAGACATGTAACCTGGGATATCCCAGGGAGTGGAGCAATTTCTCTTGGTAGATGACATAACCACATAATCAAAGATGTGCACTACTTTCTGATCCAGGAAATCCCATGATATGCTCAGTTACCAGGCAGACGAAGAGGATATCAAAACAGAGGCGTACCTTTTCCTGTTCCATCTCTAGGACCCTGGCCTGGGACTGGGCCGTCGTCTGCTTGAAGGAGTCATTCCTCTTCTCCATCAGGGTGTTGCTCTGCTCGACAAACCTACGAGAAAAGGCAAGTTGATGGAATATTATAACTGGGATCAACGGCCATTTCACGAACACTCGTTTAAAATCTTGACATACGACGGCGGTCGAGAAGATGCAAAAAAGTAAGCGGAGATGCTGGAGACAATCAATCCTGAAGGTTTCATGTGGAGTAGAAAACTCGTTTTTCTGAGTTAGTTTCTGGATAATCGCGACAAACCAAATAATTCAAATCACTCCAAGTTGAGCCCAGCAGGTTATAATATCCAAAGCCACGCATGGCATCAACAAGAAAACTCGCAAACTACAAGCAACCAACCACGCTCATGCTACATGGACATCTGTTTTGCCAGTGCTACAGCATGCCACAGAAAATTAATCACGTCTGACACATGAAGCCAGAGAGATCAGATTTTTAAGAAAAATCATACAGCGAATTTTTCCAGGTCATGTTTGAAAGGTTCTCCTTTGTAGATACAGAAATTTATTTCTGCATGCACAGTGCATTGGAAAGACAGGTTGGTGTACAGGTTAAACCACTGCTTATAGTCCCTTAGATCTCAGGTCTGGTTACCATCACACTGCCTGAAATTCCAGCCGGCTCTGAATTAACCAGTAGCCAAACGTAGAGCCGTGCCTCAACATTCTTATACTGTCATGCTTATGATATGCAAAATTGTAATTATCATGCAGATGATATGCAGAGCAGGCTTCAGGTTGTGCATGCAAAGCGAGGACCTACTTTTTGACAAAGCCATGGTCATTGTTGACGGTCTTGTTAACATTATTGTGTCTGCGGGGGGAGGAGGAAGTGGGAAAACGGCCAAATGACATTGGAAAATGGAACAAAAACAGGAGCAGAATCTGGAGAGGAAATCTCACTGAGGGAATACTTGGCAAAAGGAATCAAACACCAATATTCAAGCAAGGAAAGGAATAAATTGTCTGGACAAAAATGGCACAGGATGAGTGAGTACCCTTTCTTGTTTAGCCACCAAAAAACACCACACCAAACATCTCCAGGAGTGGGCCAAGAAAGACTGAGAAAGAACACTAAATACTCCTACAGAAACAATCGCTGAAAAGGAATGTTTTGTAATGCATCATACAAATGATTTAGTTGCTTGTGCTTAGTATTCAGGAAAGCACTCTCAAAAGGCCAAAATAACAGTCAGGGGCCCTAAAAACTAGAACCCATAACTTTTGCCTTGTATCTGCAAGTTCCCAGTTTAGTTGGGAAGAGGGTAAGATTGCCAGGAGCTTTAGAAAAGGAAGCAGGTGGGAACATTAAACTTTTTTTCTTCAATTAACAACTGGGGATACATATTTCAAGCTAAGGTCGTGTCTGTATTGAACATTTTATGGCTACGTCTTCTTGCCATTAATATACAGCCGTGCATAGCCAGAGCCATAGACAACCAGGTCAGCTTCAGATGTGTGCTTTAATCACTCCATGCTAGGTGCAGCATGTGGGCGAGCAAGCTGTCGGCGATGTATCAGTGTCAACACTTCTTCCGCTGTTGACAACCTTCACATACCCCGTTTTCGAAAAGTTCATTCCCACTGTCAACTCACACTTCTGTCATTATGTCATCTGTCTTTCTGTCATTGGTTGACAGCTCAAAGGTGACTATTTTCCCCTTTAACAAGTTGCATCCTGAGTGTTCTAAACTTAGCAGGAATAGGGTTAAATCAAAGACACTTGCGCATTTTTATAAATGTCCCACTGGTTGACCACTCGGCTTTGAGGTAAAATCTTACAAGTACATGGAATATGTATAAAATGTGTCTGTGAAAATATACACTTCTGTTCAGATGGTGAAAGACAGTGGCCAAACACTTCTTAACTGCAAAGCTCAAAACTTCTCAAGACAAAATATTGAACGCATACAAAGAAAGGCTGTAGTTGAAAGATATAAGTGAACGACAGGAATAGTAAATACGCCTCGCCCAAAATATGGCTTACTTCTTTATGACTGAACCCTGCACGAACATTTGGGGAAGAACAATTATTAAAAATCGACGCTGTAATCAAACAGGAAATAATAAATCTTCAAATAATAATAATAAAAAACTTCCAACTTGCCGGTTTACTCACATCTGATTCCTCTGGATAAGTTCAGCTATCTTCTCGTTCTGCGTCTCAATTTTACTGTCCTTCTCCACGTTTTCCTTCTTGAGTTTTTCATTCTCCTGGACGATGCGGGCGATGTTCTGCATCAAGATGTTGGCTTCTAGGTTTGGGATGGCCGCTGGCGAGGGACCGGTCGCTGAAGACTGGAAGTTCAGTTTCTCCACCTTCAGACGGAATGGTAAAAAGCCAGCTTTTTTTCAAGGGGGAAAACTTTTGGCTTGGCACAACCTGGTCAAAACCAGAAGGATTTCACTTAGGCAACAATTAGTGGTACATATACATTTTGAACATTTTTTGCAAGTTTTCAATTATATTAAAAGCATGCCCATGGAAACGAAATTTGTCGCCAAACAAGATAAGTTAAATAAATATTCATGAGATTGAATTTCCACAATTTGCAATAAAAACTCATTAACCAGAGAAAATAGTGGTAATTATAAATAAAAGAGAAATGGAACACACAGCAGTAAAACATATTTCTTCGCTCACAATAATCTTCACTCAAATGTTACGAGGGATGATAAAATTAAAACCCAAAATAAAATCCGTCAACTAAGGCTGACCTAATTTTAACAGTGAAACCCACAGCATCACACCGACTTGTGACTCATTCTCAGACCACAGGTTGCGTTTAATAAATACCCCGAAAAAAGCCAAGTAAATTCCGATAGAGTAGACCACTCTGGTCTTGTGACACACATCGGTCCCACAAGTCCCCTTGTGGGACATATTTAAGGGAAAGATCTCATAGGCTTTGTGAACACATGTATGAAGGCCCTCTGTAGCTTTGAAGTACGGTACCTTAGGCTCCCCGGTCCACGTGCACTCGTCTTTAATGAAATCAATGTGAGGTGTTCATTACAATAAAAGTAGACGGGTTCCAAGTTCCTTCATTTATAACATTCCACAATTTGATTGGAAGTGACAGAGCTTACACTACACCAACATTGAGAATTACATTGTGCCTATTACACAGGGAAGTGTCCCGAGTTGACAGCGATGTCTTGCACATGCCTTGTACATAATTAAACAGAAAATACATGTAGCCTGTCTGCAGAAAACATGTAAATTCCACTTAGAAAATGCAGTCTTTCTGTAAATGCCTGCATGCTACTGATACGTGTGTGTTATAGTAGACATTCACCAAAGCAACCTGTCTATATCAAGCACACAACTAGGTCAAGTACATGTAACTTGACTTGGTTTTCAAATAAACTGCAGAAACATCACAGAAAATGAACAAAATATTCCAGTACCCCTCAGTGCTGTAAATTAGAAAATGTGATTAAAACCATTACTGAAATATGATACACACCCAAATACCAAAGAATTAACTGAATACAAAACATCACTATCCCTCCTGTTTGAATGTCACAATACTGAGAACTTCCAAAGAGCAGATAATCTCTAAGTTGAAGCCTACAACTTCCACAAGGAAAAAAGCTATGAAGTAACACTTTCTAGAGGCCACTAGCAGCTGTAGGGGCTGGTTTTCATGACAAGGCACAATGGATCACAAGGGACATCTCCTCATCCCTGGTCACCTCCTGTGGATGCATTGTTAACGTCTTGTAACAAGACCACAACTTCCTGTTCAGGAACAAATGACAAACATCCAACTAGTGATGACTAATACATAGCCATTTATGTTCAGCACCTGACAAGTTCAACTCCAAGACAGCTCAAAAAAGCCACCAATAGAACCACAAAAGATGTGTCGAAATTTAATCCCTGGTGCCCGGTACCTGTATGGTCACCATGGCTGGCACGGTGCAGTACATGTAGCTGTCGCTGGAGCCCGAGTTAGGCCGGGACCGTTGGTTATTGGCCATCCTTCCACTCATCTTGGCTTGCAGTTTGGTGTGCTGGCTCGGCCCCATGGACGTACTGCCATTGGCTGGCATCCAATGTCTTCAAGATGGGACGTGCTGATAACGTCCCGATCGACCACTGGGACAAGACTGGTTTCAAGTACCGTCTTGGCACTCTAGGCTCATTTCCAGCCGGCCAAACGTCCCTCCATACAGCATGATTTCAATGCACACATGAAGCACTTTTTCTCCAGGATCGTGTCTCCGTGCTCAGTGAACTTGGCTGCTCGTTTTTCTTCTCACTCTCGGAAACAGATGAAGTGACGTGCGGACGCAGCTACAGCAGGAGTCATTAGTCACTTCCAAATGAACAGCTTCCGTTCCTTACTATGCCTATGCCCGTATTAAAGTGGCTTTAGAGGATTTCCAGCCCATGTCGTAGACAAAGGGGTGTTGATATGAATCCATTCACACTGGTACGCAAACTTCTTACAAGACCCTTCTCTTCTGCTGTCAGTCTAAAATTATTTGTACAGTCACTTGATCTTTTTCACAGATCCCGTTTCCGTGCCAGTTCAATACCACTTTTTTTCAGTAAGGGTGTGTCAATGTTGCGATTAAATACATGTAGACCCGTGACTTGTCTGGAATTAAGCCAGACAGAAGGAATAAGACAGTTCACACAGCACACTGTTGGTTCAGAAACTTTAACCAAAAACTTATGTCCTATATGACAAATACATGCATATACATGTACATTTACAATGTAACCAGCAACAATTGAAACCTGGACTACCTATAGTTATCATTTGCAATAGGACATCCTCCCAAATGGGAGTTCTCACATACATGTACATGTATGTTAATACAAGGCTAAAACCGTAATCGTTTTACAAAGAACAAAACTGATTACACAAAGTGATTTTTTTTGGGGGGGGGGTTTAGTCTTGAAAGCAGGCAGGTGGAACAATTACCGACCTGACTTGTATTTCTTCTGGATTCCTATTTTTTTTCTCAAGAAGGGTTCTCCCCTGTGGTATGTCTACAAAAATAATGCGGATATACGACACCACAACCGATTTCTCATACTTGGAGTCAATTTCTTTTGTCGCAGATCTCTACAAAACTGTTTCCCTTTGAGAGATATCTACTGGGCACCTTGCGCAGCGCTGGGCACGTATCCACACTGTTCAACTGCCAGTGACTCATGCAAGGGAAAAGGGGGATCAGGAGCTTGGATTTTTCCTGACAGGAAGGAGCGGCGTCTTGGGAGTGCTCGACAGTTCTGGCTTGCCTAGGTAAAGCTAGCTTGCCTTACTGAATCCCCCCTCTCTCCCTTTGATGGGGAAACCGGCTCGCACTTCCTCCTCACAAGTGCTCACTGCTGTGAGAGTGGGGCGGGCTAACGAGGCTGATTAAAGTGGACTAACGGCTTAAGGAAGTTTGATGAAGCGTATCCCAGGGATCGGCAGGTTTTGGGTTTAGGGATGGCGACTTGCACACTTCATAAAACTTCTTGATAAATTACAGAATTTTCGGAAATTTATCTACAGTCCCTCAAGCTTTTTTTTCCTTTATGGTTGCATATTCATCTGACATTATCAACATCTGATGTGAACATGTTAAATTCCTAAAAAAAGTATTTTGGACCAAGAGATAGGTGGCATGCGTTCCTGCATATACATGTACATAAAACAGTGTTTTTGAGCTTCAACAGTGTTACCAGATATTATTTATCAAAGTGGGGAAACTTTGGTTCTTAAAATAAAATAATTGCTTTGAGAATTTGGCTGTAATACGTGCCATTCACAACAGTACGCCTTCAAGAGTTTGCAATGCAATGACCAATCACAATGCGCGAAATCTGTCAACCCAGTGCGCGTTTTGGAAAGGATCAAAAGATTTCATGCATTGTGACTGGCTAATGCGTTGCAAACTCTACTGTGAATCGCCCGTATTGTGGTAAAATATGGAAAGAAACAAACCATCAAGTGCAATGAAAAGCAGATCAAAGTTGCGAGACAGGCCAATTGAATTCTGACACGAACTGACAGAATGTACCTGATCACTTGTTACACAATCTACAAAACTAGTCACATTGACTGGGAATACACTCCTCTGGGCCTTTCAGTTTTACAGTGATGTAGTCGAGTACTTTTTGAAAACCAAGTTCTCTACCAAATATTTAACTCGTTAGGAGGAAACAAAGCTGAAGTACATCGGCATTTGATGGTACATGCATGAAGGTAAGATTACAAAGCAACATGATGACTTCAGACCATCACTGCTTGATTAAAATTAACTTATTAGGAGAAAAGTACTCGGAAAGTACTCAGCCAAGTACTTTCCGAGTACTTTTCTCCTTAAAACTTAAATTTTACGTAACTGGGAGTGTCTGAAGTCTAACATTTATTTTGTAATCTTACCTTTGCACATTTACCATCAAATGCCTGTGCACTCTGGCTTTATTCCCTCTTACCCAGTTCAGTATTTTGCGGAGAACGTTGGTACTCGGAAAGTACTCGACTACAACACTGCAGTTTCATCTGATTTAGCCTGGTATGCCAAAGAAAATCACATGCCACATAATTACGTATAAGATCAACACTTGAAGGAGGTTTCTTTTGTTTTGTCTAAGTTACAAACTTGTACACAATTAGGCTCCACATCTTGAGTGCTCTGGTTACATAACCATGGGATAGTCTTGAGTGAGACTGGCATGTCTCAAATTTGTCTTAGCTGATAAGAGCGAGTAACAAGTAAAGGCATGAGGCAAATAAAGGCTTTACTTACTCTGGCTGAGAGGTTGTCAATCTTGCCCGACACCAGGTCCATGACCATCTTGAGGTCCGAGTGGTGCTGGCGGGACTCAGACAGCAGCATGGGCAACTCCTGGCTCACGGGTTGCTGGACCAGGGCCTGGCTGGTGCCCGTCAGGATCGTGCTGGCGAACGGCTGCTGCTGCTGCTGCGGCTGCGGCTGCTGGTGGTGGTGAAGGGTCTGCTGGGCTGCCGCCGCCGCTGCTGCCGCGGCGGCCGCTGCCTGCTGCTGTTGCTGTTGCTGCTGCAGCAAGAGATTGGGATCGGTGGCCTGGGCGGTAAATTGCTGCTGTTGGAAAATACAAATGGATCAAAATTATTTAGTGTCCCTGGCCACCACTTCGATTCTTAAGCTCTGTTGGATGCCGCGGTAATCAACTCCAAGTCCCTAGGTGTATTTCTCAGATGCTTCCTGAACCCTGCAAAATCCAACACTGCTCAAGAAACCAGTGCAACATTCTTTGTGCATTAACCCTGCAAAATCCATCACTTCTCAAGAAACCAATGCAATATTCTTTGTGAATTAATTCTTTGTACATAAATTTTTTTCCACAAATATCTGTCAAAATTGTCTAAACCTGAAGGATTCGGAAGTTATCAGGGAGGGTTAGCATTCGTGAGGGTTAGGTTTTAATAAGGGAAGATTAGTTCTTGATTGGCTGCACATCTCTGAAGCAAAAAACAGATTCCACCAGGGTCACAAACGATGCAATTGCTTGCAAAGTTATCAAAAGGGACGTGTCAAAAAGAAAAATTGAGCGGTAGACGCCAGATGGTGCATAAACAAACAGGCAAGGGAGAAAGCATCACAAAAGTAAAATGGAGAATAGCGGTAGCCAACAAAGACAAGGGACGAGAAAAATTGATCAGGTCGGCAAAGGAGAAAAACAGGCAATGAAGTGAAAGACGTGCAATGACCAAAAAAAAATAGGTGCAAAGTGGAGAAAAAAGCACGGCAAATGAGAGTGTAACTTCTGTCCTTCATAAGCGCAGGTCACAGGACCTTTTCCTCTCTGTGACACACAAAGCCTGGAGTTGTATGTAACAAGTGGAAAGCTAGACAAACAGCGACAGCAAGTGAGGGATGCGGAACGGGGAATGCTACATAAAGACACTCTGTTAACCCTAACCCTCCTCAATCCTCTCCCGTGGTGGAGGACTGAGGAGTGTTAGGGTTAATAAGTGTATTCAACAGAAAGCCAAATATGAAGCAGACAATTTGGGAGTTTAAACTGATGTTTGCATCAAAGGCAAGAGCGAAGGAACATCTCCACAACTAGGGATGGAGAGAACAGGGTCTAAGTACACAGCAACACAGACGTATTTCCTTCAACGCGTACGAAGAGAAATACTGCTGCACCCTTGCTGGGAGCACGCTTGCTTCAACAATTCCGAGCAGCAGGACAGAGCTTGTATCAACCAGAAAAACACTGCACTCAAATGGCAGCGCTCCACACAGGAACAAGGACTTTCCATTCTTTTCCCTTGTTTTTTTTTTTAGACGCTCCCCAAGACGAGCAACTCAAAGGAAAGCTAAAAAGCAACAAAACAGAAGAAGGTGCGATCGTCACGGTACCTGGTACGGATATTGCGATCCTGTCCCATGCATGGCAGTTGACTGTGGATGAAATCAAAATGCAAGGAGTAGCAGAAAGAGATGAGTGTATAAGAATACTCCAGACAGTGAGTAACACAGGTGGGCAAAAGGGTGGACACACGTGAGGATAATACAGGGGAGACAAACATGAAATAGAACAAAATCCACAATCTCCTTATTCACCGACAGCAGAGATGCTAAAAACTTGTCAAAGACTATCGCGTACCCCCATTTACTGACCAAATCTTGCAGAATAGTTCACCATTAACTCTTCTATTGCCATGAAGGTGTTCCAAATTCAAACAAACATTTCTAAGGCGTGAAAATTTCTTGCTGTACCAACAAGTTATCACAATGAAACTTAATCTATGAATGTTGAAACCGCAAAATCTTTTTGCTTTTGCTATCAAACCAGCTGCGATCCGAACCTTTGTCAAAATCACAATTTTGTTCCTAAATTTATTCTTTAACCCTAACCCCCCCAAGGGTTGCTGGCCCTAACCTTCCCCATTCACACAAAGTTGTATACCCATATGGGACTTTGTTTTCTGAGGTATGCCAAACCCAATGCAAAAGCCAGCTGTTATGGGCCTACCAGACCTATCCCCACAGAATTAAACACTTTACTACTGTGTGGTCGGGGAAGGTTAGGGTTAACACACTCTCTAAACAGCGACACTTGAAGAAGTTTTAAAGCTGCAACACAGACAACCGGATCCACTAAGCCCTGCCCTAGAGAATTCTGACCAATCAGAGCTGTGATTTTACTGGTATGTTTGACGTGCGGCATGCACCAGAGTCTTTTGTTTTTGCTTTGTTTGAAAGTGAGAGACAGGACCATGGATCAGCGTGGCATTCGAGAAGGGCATATGCTAAAGACCCCTGTGCGTAGTGGGCAAGGCTCATTGGATGAGTTTACTTAGGTATGACGGGGTTTCTTCGTGGGGGAGAGGCGTGACAGCTCTAGCCAGGGCAGGAGCGAAACGGACACGTCTCCCCGATGAGACATTTGGAAGCTGATTTTGCTGTGAATACCATGAATAATACTCGGACAAACAGTGGTCACCTGGCCCCTCCCCCCCCGGGGAGTTGTGGTCACTTACCTGGAATCCTGGCTGCTGCGCCATGCCTGGCATGCCGGCCATACCCGCCATGCCCATGGGTTGCTGCTGCACCTGGGGCTGGGCCGGAAACTGCTGCGGTTGGGGTGGTTGCTGCTGGGGCTGATAGACGGCCACGGCCTGGGAAAGCGGCATGGCTGGGAACAGACGGGAAAGACAGCAGACAAAAGAATGCGAGTAATCTCACGCTCCTTGTCAAATATAAAATAAGGTACGGGGCGGCGCGGACATCTGGGATTCTTGCAAAAATGTCAGGTACTGTGCCGGTGAAAACAGCCGCCATGGTGAAGTACGCACGCACCAGCCAGTCCGATGATCGGGTTTCGCAATCTTTTTTTCGATCAGTACGTACACGTGCGCTCGTTGCAGTTGTTTTCACCTGGCTGCTACCTGCAATTTTGTGACACTCCCGGATGTCCACACTTCCCCACTGTCCGCACGGTCCATACTTCAGCTTTTGATGTGTCAGACAGCTACTCAAATGCTATTAATCACATTCACAAAGTTGATCTGAACTTTACTGATAGTCTTAAGTTACTAACAAACCCCAATTTTTGAAAAGTACAGAATTCACAGCGTCACACAGAGAAACCTTGATTTGGGTTTTGTTTAAGTTTTGACATGCTGTGCAATATGGACACAGACATCTACAAGACACCTTGACTGGGTGTGTCTTCACGAAAGAAATGGGTGCAGAGTGATATGACCTGCACGCACGAACACTCCTGCATGGGACATCTTCGCTGTGACAAGTTTGGTGGGTCGATATAAACATGTTGCAGATTCCTTGAGAAAGAATGAATGCAGAACGGGCTTCACTTTGCTTGTGCACGGTGAATGTGAAAACATTCAATCTAGGTTTTGCTTGCATCTCTCTTGTAATGTGAGATGCGATGTGTACACAGCGCCCTCGGTTGGGTTCGCCGAATCCTCCTCTTACCTTGTGCGGTTTGAGGCATCATGCCCACCGTAGAGTTTGGCATGTGCATCTGTTGGGCCATGCCGTCGGCCCCCATGGCGTGCTGGTGCTCTGGCTTGGCAGTGGTTGGCGGCTTGCGTCCCATCTTGGCAGGCTTGCTACGCGGATGAGGGTGTGCGGTTACTGGTGGCGGGGAGGTGTAGCCGGTGTCTGACGCACTGTTCTCCTGTGTTATGGCAGAAGTGTTTTGTTGGTCTTATTATGGCCGATTTATTGAATATTGTGACTACCAGGAAGGTTACTTGAAAGCTAACATGGTTACCAGGATGATACTGCAACGGCCAATGTGGCTGCCATATTTACCACGAATGCTCTGGCCACTGCGATGGCATCCAAGGCCACTGTGGTCGCTATAGCTACCATGGGTGGCTAGCATGGTTTCTACGATGGATACTGTGGCTGTGGTAGTGGCTTCCATGGTTACACTGATAGCTGTGGTTATTGTTCTAACCACAAATGGACACTATGACGATTGATGGGAAGTGCCACAAATATTATGGATCCCTCAGGAGTTGAAATGGCCTACAGCTATGCCAACTGAAAGGGTTGCAGAGCTCACAAAAATCAGTTTACAGTGGTAATTCCACTGGCCTATAACTGAGTCAATGTGATGTTGGCTATAGCAGCCCACCCAAACCACTGTGATTGCTCCTACGTCCAGAGCAATGGCTGACGAATACCAGTTCACACTCACTCAGCACCACACTAAGAAACCTCTTGACAAGTACTTACATCGGCCTCCGAATCGTCGGTGCTCTCTGTGGCTACCGCAGCCCCCTGTAGAGGCAACATGGGCTGTCCCATCTTGGCCATCCTGGAGATGAGCTTGGCTTTACTGCTACTGACGGGGCTCTGTGGAGAGGTCGGTAGAAGGAACAGTGATACATCCAATCTTTGTGGGCACATTTTCATTCAGTAACAGTGTTGGAGTTGAGACCTCTAACCAACCATTACGAGACCATCGCAAGACCCCAGTAGACCAACACGAGACCCCACGAGACTGACACAAGACCTCCAGTCTGAATTCAAGTCACAAGCTGTTCAAATGAACTGCAGCAAACCCATTCCTTTGTCAATATTCATCTTACTACAACTCATGGCAGGTCTTGTGACTGGCCTTATGGCTGGTCCTGTGCTAGTCTTGATTGCAACACTGAAGTCAGCAAGGACATACAGGTAGTGTATAAGAAAAAGCCAGTACGAAAGATTTAACACGTATTGTGCCTTGAATTATTGGGAATGCCGCAAGAAAAACCAAGCAGGAAAGAGCAGTTAGATCTAACACGCATTGTGCCTTGCGTTATTGGGAATGCTGCAAAATTTGTCTGCCAAAATACAGCTTATAGAGAAAAAAAGACACACGTTCATTTCTACTCTTCAAAGTTGCCCAATTTGGCACACTCAAAACTTTGATGCGAATTTCTTTCTGATTTGATAAACCTCCAACTTTGATCAACTTGGACTGACCAGCAGTGGCAGTGCTTACAGAACGGACTCTTCTCTGGGAAAATTTTTGCTATTTCACGTATCAGACTGAGGGAAAAAAAAAAGATATGCAACTCACGGATGAGAGGTGGTCAGTGAGGGAAGCTGACCGCGTCTTCACTGTTTCATCGCTGCTACTGAAATCACAACAACATCAAGATGACCAATTCAAGACAAAGCAAATGAGGTCCACTTGCTTTTGACGACAAAAACATCAAACTTTGCTCAAACCTTTTTTGTCCAACTACACAGAATTTACAGATTCTGCAAATCTCAGATATTGAAGACAATCACAAATGAATGCTGCATGAACAAAAGTCTAAGGCCGTTATTCCAATACTCAACTTCGGCTCCGTCTCAGGCTTCAACTGTTTCTTTTACTAGCTGACTTTGAAGCTGTAAGTGCAGTAATTAGTCTAATAGTGCCACAGAACATCAAGTAAGACGCAAGAAAGCCAAAAATTACAGTAATCCAATGTAATTTACACCCTTCAGGCCCACCGTCGGGGATTGGTTTTGGGAACGAAGCCTGAGAAGGAGCCTAAGTCGAGTGTTGGAAAAACGGCCTAAATTTACACCAAAGGTGTTACAGTTTCCCTCTTCACAAACTTCCAAACATACCAACAGGAGACACTGACATAACATCAGTTCATTCGGAAACAAGCACATCTAAGCAGATAATTTTGCTTAGTAATGTTGAGCTGGTGACCGGCCAAACAACTGAACAGCGTGCCACACTCCTGGCTGGTTGTTGGCATAACCCTGCTTACTGAAATTATGTATACTAAGCAGCGTACTTAAGCACACTTGCCAATGTGACTACATGAAATGTAATAGTAGCATTCTCAATGGTGTACTGTGAAGTGTTGGAGTTCTGGTAATCTGAAAGTTCTTAGGTTAGATACCAAAATGACTGTGAAATCTGGCAAAGACATAATGTTACAGGTATGTTTGCTTCAGCGGCTTCTAGTTTGAGGGGATAAAACTTCTCTGATATCTCCAAGTAACTGAAATAGACATCAGTACAATGTACAAGGGTCATTCCATGAGGCTGGGGCACAAGTTGTGATGGTGTCAATTGTTACATGGGTTCCGTAAAAATGAACAGTTATTTCCCTGCGTGTGGATTCCCAATTGACATTGTTATACATCGTGCAAAGCTGAATACAGAGGTGTGTGTTATTGTTACAGAGTAAATGACCTACTGTACAGGTCATGACAGGTGGTAAAAGTTACTGATGTAACAAGGACACCGTCATAAATTGTGCCCCAACCTCATGGAATGACCCACAACCAACAGAACATGGCAACCTAGAACTTCACAAGTAAATCAAAAGTTTCAATTTACATGTACAAGTACACCCGACTTCATAACTGTGGAAATGCGCATATCCCGAAACTTCAAGACTTCTTTCTCACTGCGATTGATCTGCGGATTTTCATTTAGAGCGACCAACTGGCCAGATGAAAGGGAAAATCAGCCGTGAAGGGTTGAGCAAATGAAGTGCTACTAACAAAAGGCTGTGGAGATAATCATCATTTGACTCCATCGATAATTAACGGCATGAGGGTGATTTGGACGCAAGCGGTGATGTTGAACCTGCGGATGACGATGATGATGAGGCTGTAAATCTGTGATGGAGAAAGTGACAGCTATAACAATGACACGAAAGCATCGTGATCTAGGCAAAATCAGAAAAATCAGTTACACTTTTCGGTTTGGTTTGCCGGCTCTTTTCTGGTTGGGAGCAGAGGGCGACAGCTTCTCGCGTACTCGTTCGTTGATACTACTGCAAAGGGTGGAAAAAACTTATGATGTGAACAAAACTGAATTCATGACGACTATCTTGAGGATGAAGTAAGATGACGCTGACGAACACCGTGAGGACACAAACTGATGACAAATGAGAACCATCCCGTGACAATGAGACAGATGCAACAACTCTATTATCTTGACTTTGTGACACAACAGTGCTTTGGATTCTGTACACAAAGGATCTCTGAGACATCATCAAATCACAACTCTCAGTGTAGAAACTTTCCCTGGTATGCACGCATAACGATATGTGATAACGTATGTGATCCTCGTAAACCAGTACCGTCTGACTGGTAATCATCCCCCTTTCAATAAGTTTACAACATCTGGTCTCCGAAGCCAGCCTTCTAAGTTCTTGTCAGAACAGCGGAGCACATTTCCCAGCATGCCAACCACGTTCCCAAAATAAAAACCAACACTAAGCACAGTAATGTTAAATACCCATCACTCGCACGGGCCGCTAATGTACATGTACATGCATATGCTGCACTTTATACTTTAAAAGGATCCAGGAAATAAATTTTTCTTAGAATCACTTTTTGTGTATCTCTGTACTCTTCCATGTATGAAGACTGTTTGACATCGTTTTTGAGTTACGTGAACTTAACGGTGCACTTTTGCAAACATTAAAAATTGACTAAACATTTCTGGACAAGTGAGGGCGCTTTTGCTTTGATGTTAATCCAGGAAGACATTGTTCGGGTTGCGTGTTTTCATGTTCAAATTGTGAACCCCAAATTTGGTATCTGGGAACATTTCTGTGAAAAAGAGTTTTGCTGGATTATTGCTATATACTTACACAGCAATAAATTGCCAAAGAAAATGAAATCTGCCATAGCAGTGGTTAAAAGAATCTAGAAACTTTCTGTGCGCAAATCAGTGCAACATTCAGTGCCTTGGATGCTATCATAGTTCTGCTCATGAATATGCAAATATGCATTAGCATAAAACCAAAAAAGCATCAAAATATGGGTTAAAATTGCAAAACAAAATTTAAAATAAGGTTTATTGAAACCCAAAGATGCAATTTCAAGGGTTTTAAGTAAAATTTATCAAAATATTTCTATTTCCTGGTTCCTTTCAGCATTGAATCAACGACTAAGAATCCCCTATGCCAGCGTGGTCCACATTACATTTTCCTCGGCACCGGCGGTTTAGTCTGGCTTGTGCTGGACAACGTCCTCATCTTCTCCTCTTCCTCGCTGCTACTGCGACAGGGAAAAAACACTGACACAATGAAGTCAATATCGGCACTCCTTTGCTAAATACACACATCTGTACCTGGAGGACTGTGCAAAACAAAGGGAAGAAAAGATTACCACCTACCCGGCACGACTGTTATCAAAATGGCTTCCGTTCCAAAATAGGCATCAACGCCAAATTGAAACACAATTACAACCCTGTGTACTACCTTTCCATGTACTTATGAAGAGGTGGTTAAAAACAGATATAAAACATGTCTACGGGCAAAGTTCACAAATCTGGGTAAACTTTGCCCAATCTGCAAGATAAAGATCAGTACAACTGGAAGTTAACTTAACAACAAAACAGCATACAGAGAGGCATGTGTCATTACATCTTATAAAATACCCAATATATTGCCCAATTTGGATTACCTGCAACTTAACCATGGCCTCTGTCAGAGAAAATATATTTTTTCTGGTCGGCAGAAATGACTGTCGGACCGCAGACCTGCATGATACAGCAACAAACTCTAAGCACCCATCCCCACCCACTTTTTACACTGCAGCTAAGTAATAAACTAAGATAAGCATATTTGACACCAAGCTGCCCCTCCCCCAACAAAAAGGAGAAAAAAAATTTAGTGACCAGTCAAATTTTAGACTTCACTTTCTCTTCTTCAGCTTCGGACATTTTTAGGACGCAACTTGCAAAACACTTCAGAAACCTTTCTCAACATCAATGGGCGATGTTGGCCAGGCTGCTTCACTTTGAATCCTGGTCGAGCCTCACCTTGCTCCGTCTACCCTGGGTGAGTCCACCCTCGGTGAGGCTGCTCGGTGGTGCTCGTTGGCCAGGGCAGATGCTGCCTCCATGGCATCCGAGGACACTGAACCAGTCTCGTCCTTGGACACTTTGATCTTGAGAGGCCACAGAAAAAAAAGGGAAACTTTCGTGAGGGTATCCAACTCTGGTGATTTGAAGATGCAACTCTAGTAATTTGTCCAGCCGCCACTGAGTGAAGCGGTACACCATTTGGGAAGTCCGATTCAATGTCAACCGCACACAATAGGCTATCACGCCATGTGCTTGCCCAAAGACACATTCTCTCCAGACAAACAGTCTCCATCTCATCACATATGTTCTGTGGTTGTAGGGATGACACAAGTGTTGTCATATGATGATGTGTGGGCCAAAATCATGATGGGGACATATTGTTGGGCTTACAACTCAGCGCCAACTTTTCTAACGAGAGACTTTCCCCTTAATTGGAAATTGGATGCTCCACAGGTCATTTCAGAAATTTCTGCCAAACCGTACAAAGATTCCCAGGTGAAAGGACCAATCAAATTCACCTTTTTAATCTCGACGTCAAATATGAGAGTGGAGTTGGGTGGTATCCGAGACCCAAGTCCCTTCTTCCCATAGGCCAGCGCAGGAGGAATAAGCAATAACCGGCGCCCACCTTTCTTCATTGAGATCACACCTTCCTCCCAACCCTGCACGTCAAGAACGAACAAACAGTGAAAAAATTTCCAATTTACAACAAGCTAAACCTTTAGCGGCCAAAGGAAGACACTTTTCAATGAAGCATTTGTTTTAATCAAGAAAATGAACCGGCCTAACCTTTATAACTTTCCCTCGCCCGATCTTGAAGCGGAAAGCCTTGTCAACAGTCGCATTGCTGTCAAAAACCTATGAAAACACAATCGATACATGTAAATACAGGCCGAGTTAACTGAATGCATTTCTCCCTGACAATGGACAGTACAAGAAAACTGCAGAGATGGAAAAAGGAAGCAAGTGCTAAAACTACTTGGACACGTAGACGTATATTCACAAATTACATGTAAATATAAATTAATAGTGTGGACCATCAGCAGAGGGGCGCTCTTAATTTAAAAAATCTGACAACTGTTTGATTACTAATGGTGAATCTTTCTAAATCTTTGGAGGGGTTTCGCTATAACTAAACCTAGAGCAAATATATAGCATCCGGAAGCTAGTGGAACTGAAAAGCCTAGAGCAGAACCAGACAAGCCGTGTCCTTGGCCTTTTCTTGACCCCTGATGAAAAGTTGACTGTTCTAGAAGTCTATCGAAGAATGCGGATCAAGTGCAGTCAGCAACATGCATGTGTGTGCATACAGAGTGAATAGCATTTCCACTTGGGGGGGACGAAAGTTGCAAGTTAATTTGCTCGATTTAGAAAACACACCGGGCACTGGTTCTACACATTGTTAAAAATTTGAAAATACACTGCAACCAACTTTTACTGGCTCATACAGTCTTTGCATGGGTGCCACGCACAGTACAAAAAACAAACAACAGTCTTCCAAGCCTCTCTCTTCTTCACCAATGAGGGCGTACTTCCGCACGAAGTTCAAGCACTACTACATATTGGGAAAAGTGCAGTGACTAGATGGGCATGTGAAAAATTAGGCATGACATACGGTTCCAAACGTCCTGCTCTGGTAGAGCCAGCCGGTGTACTTGACCTCCACGGAATCCCCTTCATTGACCGGCTCTCCCATGCCCACCGTCAGATCCTGCTGGATCACTCCCTTGGTTATGCCGCCAGAGGCGTTAAGCTTGGCCAAACCCACCTAGGAATTGATTGAGTAAAATGCAAGAATGGTCACTTCAGAGCTGTGATGTTCTTTAAAGAAGTCACTTGATCTTCAGCAGACTTCAGGCAAGTTTTTCTGAGAAATCGTCATCGAATTTGTTATGAAGAGAGTCCACTTGGAACTCTGTGATTAAACAACAAAAACAGTTTTTTCTTCAAAAGCGTGTTTTCAACATTATTCTTTCCACTTTTCTCATTTTTCTATTGACTGAATTTCTTTCACCAAGCAGATTAATTTTTGTTTTCATGGTTTCAGCAGTCTGCATATCTTTACCTGTTTGGCAAAGTCGACTGCGTTCTGTTCCGTCTCAAACATAATGGACCAGTTCTGCCTCTGCTCATCGTAAAATGTAGCATAATTGTTGGCTTGCGTCTACAAAGGAAAAAAAAAGAACACTTTATATTAAGTCTGCAGTTGGTCAGACAGATCAGTCAAGAACGAATTTATCATTACACACAAATCATAACTTTTAGCTTTACCAATCCTTCAAAAGAAATTTCTGAGCAAGGTAACTTTTGCAACTTCAATTCTCAATCGATAGCCAAAGTATTCACGTATAACAAGCTGCTACTCCAACAACGTGAGGTTGCCACGGGTCAACCCCCCCCCCACAAACTTCCAGACCTAGATAAAACCACGCCCACCCTTTCTCTCCTGAAAAGTGTCGCATGCAGTTTTGAAACACTGCAAGGACAATACTCAATGCAGCAAAATCCAGGTAAGTGCACAATTCAGCTCTTACTTGTGGCAAAAATGGGAAGGCTGTCATAAAGTACTGAATTTATAATTTGTAAAAATTGAACAAATATGACATTAAGTCTGGTTCATACTGCAGGCCAATGCGAAAGTGAGGCGAATTTGATGTTACGAAAGTCTGCATTGAAATTTCGCTCAAGTTGAAATGTACTCAACTTTTACAACTTTGCAAACACGTACACATATTCGATTTGCTATTACAAGTTTGCACATGTGTGTTCATTTTTGGGCCGGTGTGAATGGGCCTCAAGAGAGGAAAGAGAGATTGAGTTGAGATGCACGTCTCTACGCTTACAGTGAAAATGAAGTGTGGCGTGATTCTGGCGTGCGTCACCTGCTGTTGCTTGCTGATGTACAGAAGCAGCTTATACTGAGGAATGAAAGGAAACAGTGGAAGTCTCACATAAATTACCTATCACCTTGACGTAACGATCAAATGACACCTAAGTCACAACCATTCTGGAGGGAGAGGAGAACAGAGAAGATCCCACATGTATGCTAAATGTTGGATGTTCCTTGGTTTGTATTAGCGATTCTTGAAATGTTAGTTAACAGGTGGGGCATGCAAACCAGTGCAGTAAGCGTTCTTAGTAGACTGATTTCTGCCTCCCTACTTCTCTTTGAAGTCAACAATATCACAGAGAGGCCTGGGACCAGCCTATCGTTGCTGCTGTTGTTAAGCTATACCTGCCCTCGTGACTAAATGCATAGAACCAATAAGAATGAGACATGCATTAAAGGTACTACCAATTCCATCCTTTGCCCTTAAACCTATAACTGAGAACAACGAATGTGAAGACGAAACTCACGTCGTTTGCTGTGTGGTTGCCCAAGATGGCAGCCCCCAACTTTCCGTGCTTGATGTACGTGCCATTGGAACTGCAAACAACCAGACACCACTAAATGATGGAACACTGTGACCTTTCTGTCGTATCTGGAGTCCGGACAAAAGTCCAAGGCAAATTAATAGCGTATGCGGTCCAGTGTCTCTCAAAACTGTTCCAGACTTGTCTTGAACCCTGACTCCAGTCAAGGCTTCATCCTGAATTACACCATGCTTTTCAAAGGTTTGCATGGTTTCAGACTTCAATCCAGACCCGGTAAATTTAGACATTACTACCAACAGGTCTCCAAGTACATGTAAGTCTAAGATAAAATGAGCTTTGAAGAAGAACCTAGCCAATTTTGAAGTCTACCCTTGAGCATGTCATTTTTAGTTTCTGATTCAAGTAGACTTGGACTCAACTGACTACAATGCTTGCTCATACATGTACAAATACACTTTAAAAAGTATAAAGCATTGCAGACAATACATGAAGATTAACAGTATCCTTCCATATGATGCCAGTTATTCCACCTAGACCTGCACCTGTTGCATTACATGTTTTATATACATTTGTTATTCATTTCAGATGGAAATACGAGTGTGCAGAGAAAAACATTAGAGTTACATGAGGAAAAACGTGACAAACACGTGATGAATACTTTTGGCAGTTCTATCGTGTTGATTTGAATGTCGTTAATTTGCGAGTGTGAACTTGAATTCAGGTCAAATTTTGAAGTTAGCCCCTGAACGGGTGCAGATGAAGGCTATGAGTCACGGCACCCTGTGCCAGGCATTGTCTATGAATAGCCTAGCTAGTTGGCAGGGAACCAGGTATATGTACAGCTCATTACCAGCTGGTCATGTTCCTGTGTGTGCTTGAGTGTGGGCATCGAGGAGGGCAATGCTCTGGCTACTCTCCATGGCAACCTTGTGGGGGGCTTAAAAATGGGCTATCGGTCAATGCCATGTAACGAATGGATAAACAGCCGTCACTTTGGATCTGCAGGAAGGTCGTCAGCAACGTGCGTACTGATGTGACGTCAACCGCCCAGTATTCAGCATGCCCCGATTATGTAGATCAAGGGACCCACACAACAAACTGTTTTATATAATGGTCAGTACACTGAATCGAGCACGGCGCGATCTCACACACAAGTTAAAAACAGGTTGCGTATCTTCCCTATGCAAGCAGCATACATGTAACTGATGCTACCAGCTTTCTAAGCTCTCTGTGCAAAAGAGCCCCATCACTGGTAAGAATCGGTTAGGCCAGGTCGACATATGGATGTCCCAAATGATCACTCTGTGTTCCACACCATGTCAAATTCAAGCTGAGCTAAACTGTGCCCCGCTGGTCACTGCAACCATCAACTACAGGTAAACCGCCGAGTCGTCACTGATAAACACGCTTTGTGCATTACATAAACATACTTACAATCTGTATGCATGGACTGCCACGGCCAGTAACAATGCCGACTGTCCACCCCCTGATGAGGATGGGGCCGCCCCCTCTGCAAAAATGATGTGAGTGATTGAGAGTGTACTTAAAATGATTCCAGGAATATACACGGTACATTCTAAATGTTACCCGTCCTTCAGGTTTTTTTCCAGGCACTTCCCTGGGACAGCTACAGAACAGGAACCCCTCCCCCTTCAAAAAAAAAAAACTGTAAAAGATCAAATTTCAATAAACCTCATTCCAAATTCCTTTTCTCGACCGACAACTCAAATTCAAGACGCGTGTGGGAGGCCAAGTGTCATACACCACAAACGTGCTTACCCTACCCTCACGTGCTACCGGTGCACATGGCGAGAGGCGATGACTTAGCAACAGGAAATGTCACCGTCTATTAAAAAAATGCAATTAAGCAATCGGTACGGTGCTCCAGTGTACATCGTGTCTACCGTCTCAAACAACACTCTTGAAACGTTCCTATTTTCTTTCGGGATTACATTTCTAGGGTTTTGATTTCAAGGATAGAGGGGCGTGGCCAGAAGGGAGAGGGGTGGAAGGGTGGAGGGGTGAAGTGGGGATGGAGGTGTAAGATTATCTACCTTTGGATCCTTTGGTCCCTTTCTTGGGCTGCTTGGGTGCCGTGTAGGTCAGGGATTCGTTGCCGCCTTGGTTGCTAGCACGGTCCATCCCAAACAGGGAACTTAATTTGGACCTGACAAGGCGGGAGAAAATGGAAGATGTTAACAAAACCGTCCGTCATGGTCTTATATGACCACCTGGAACCAAAAGACGTATGACCAGTTTCATGGGTCCGCCTGCTGGAGGCACAGAATCTTTGAAGCCACTCGAATCTGTACCGATGTCAAGCCATTTTCATGGGTTGGGAAGGTGGCTTGGTTCACGCTTACCTTACACAGGATTAGCACAGAATTCCTGGAGCTGTAAGCAAAAGAATTGGTGAGCTACATACACTTTACATGCAAGCAGACAATTCTGCTCTTAGCTTAGATACCAAATTAGGCCTCAGAATGTAAACTTGTAGCTTTAAGCCTTTGCTACACGCTGCATGCATACAGACTGCTCCGTCCCACTCTCCTTATGGAAAGCAGGTACTACGGTAAAATTATCACATAAAGAATGATATTTAGATGTACAATACAGAATTCTACACTATTTTTGTGACAAAGATGTTTAACTAGAGTGTGTGATTGAATCTAGAAGCTCATTGATTTACAACGAGCACATCAGTGTTGGTCGAGTACAAAAGTTGAATATAACCAGCCATATTTCATTCAGTGCTGAAGTACAGGTGTATACAAGTACAACGTTTGGTCTATCTCCCGCCTCCATACCAGGAGACTAGCTAGTCTGTTGAAAATTTAAACTATAAATAAGCGTGTCCATTTGATGAGAACGCATCTAGGCAAAGTACGACTGTAGAGTTGCAGCTGCGCACAATATGAAAAGTTCGAGAAAGAAACAGTACAAAATGCAGTTGACGTTGCACATGGCGGTACAATGTTCTAGAACAATGTTTGAAAGGGCAACCTTTGTTCCTCGTCTGCTGTCTTGCAGTACTAGAGGGAAGTGTAATATATACCATATGGAAGTGCTGGCCAGAAATGATAAGACATGGAATAAATCTGCATTTACCTCAACGGTTGTTTCTTCCGGTACTTATACTTCATAAAGGTAAAGGGATTAGGATCATCATCCATGATATTACTGTTATGTGGATACAATCGTGCACCCATCTCATCTCATTCAATGCATCCGGTCAAGGTGTACAGTTCGGAGTAAGGTCACAGATGATGACTGTCTAAGTTTTATATCCATCCTCCTCTGTGCGACTCACTGCAGCCATGAAACAGTGAATCCCGGAGATCATGATCGCACAAATCTGAAATGAAATATTCAATCCACCTCCGAAACGGGTCAAGACTGATGGTCAATGCTGAGCACACATGTAAGGCAATATGCTTGGTGCAAGGCTACTTTCTAAAGGTTAAGAACCAATTTCCTGAAACTGGCTACCAGTAGAGTTAACCATTCATCCAATGACCAGAGCATCTGTCATCACCATGTATGAAGCTCAACCAGCTTATACACTATTGAGGATTTCTGCGACGATCACGATATGGTTCAGTAGAAAGTTGGGACATCAAACATGCATTCCGTGTGTGGTCGTAGGCCAGCGAACAACGATACTGTCCATGACACTACTTGTTCTAGAAGATCACCAACAACTGCACAATGATCATTGCACGGACCACTGCAGACTTAGCATCAAAAATTGGCTGATGACATCAAGTCCGCATCAGCGGCTGGGAGCACTTGCAGTTGATCAGCAAAAGTATCCATTCTTGACACAATTTCTCCCTCCAAACTGAACTGTTGCATGTCTACACTTCTCAAAACTCTCCACAATTTACACGTACGCATCAACTTTCACAGAAATTGCATGCTGAACTGCACAGGTGCAGCGCGGATGCCGACTCGTCACAAACCCGTCCCACAAGCAGGAAAGCTACATCTACCATTCATGTGAAACAAAACCCTGTCAACGGCGGCCCGCTGCCCCCTGCCCCTGCCTTGGAGGAAATTTTAGATTTAGCGCCGCTAATTGTGCTAATTCCATTCAAGAGACAGACTTGGTGACCATACCAGGAGCCGATGACACACAAAAGGGTTTAACTCCGGATGCGCTGATTTAAAGCCACGCAAGTGCTACATTTATATGCACACTATGCACTAATTATGGGGCTAAGCCGTGTCCAAATTACCTGACTGTGGCTGGAAATAACACCACGCTATAGAAGCCACTGTGTTCCACCTAGCCATAGCCACGTCATTTGGACGTGACCTTCACAGCAGCTGATCCTACAGTATTCGGGTCAAGGTGCATGTACACATGAGTTAAAAAAAGAGCTGACTAGTGGTACATGAAGCCCGTTGGATCAACTGATTTCCACTTTCACCCCCGCTTGGTGAAAAAGAGAGAAGCTGGGCCGATGCCTGAATGTGTGAGCATCACTGCCAGCATGTGCCCCACGCTAAGCAAATAAGTTACAGATTGTACACATTCAAATGAAAATTCCGCTACGTTACAGATTGTACGCACTGAAACGAAAATTAGTTACATATTCAGTTCTAAGTGGTACGTAGACACCAAAAAGCATGCGCCCTTGATGTGTCAGCCCACTTTGCTAAGTAACAAAGTGCCCTCTCTCATCCATGAACAGATTCTACAGCCTGATTGGCCATGATCAAGACATTTGAAATATTTCAATTCAAATATATTTCAATTGACTTTGGCCATGCCAAACCACTTTGACGCCCTGGTCTGTCAAGCTTTCAGCCCAAGAATATATGTGGGCATACAAGTAATCTATAGGTCTACCATCTGGTCAAATGAATCAAAGTCACCATAACCAGCTGATTGGATCGTCGGGAGTTACCACAGATCATGGAGCATAGAAATAGGGTCCGGAAGAGCCAATCGGATGGGTGAAGAGTCACTGTGACCATAAAAAAGGATGAATGATTGCATACATCAGGTCAAAGGTCACTGCAATCATCTAACATGGCTGACTGGATAGGTCAAGTGTAAGCTTAATCAAAACCATAGGTAAATAAAACCTTATGTGAATTACACACAGCATCATTTAAATAAAAGATTTTTTTTTTGACATGTGAGAAACAATAAAGTAACATTACCTGGAGTTAGGTTTCCAAGATGACCTGCTCTGGTAACGTTCCATTCTGTGAAGTTTTTGAGCAAGCACTTTGCCAAACAGCTTAGTCCAAGGTCAGCTGCAACTCACTCGAGCAGAAAGCAAACATCTTCCAGCGGCCGACAGCCCAGACAGCCCAACAATTTCCCGAGCGTGAGCCACAGGGGCAAGTCTTTTCAGGGAAACTGACGAGCCAAGTTCGTCCCTTCCCTGAAGAGAGACGTGCCTGCCGTCGCTTAGTCAGCCTCTTACTGTACATGACGGATTAACTTAGCCCTATTTTTTCTTCCAACATTCTCGCTTTCGGAAAGGGGGCCGCAAACCAGTAAAAATGCTTTCGACTGGCCAAAACTCCACATCCGTCTCATAAATTTCTCTTAAATAATTAATTTCCCAAGCTGCAAAGTGCCATGTGAGCATACATATCTCAGTAAAAGCTGCAAGATTTCTTCCACAGAGAAAACAAAACTCGGCAAAAAATACTTTTCAAACTCCTGGGGAACATTTGCTAGGGCTGGCGTGAAATGAATTGACCTTCAAGCGTTTTTTTTCCTTCTTGCCGTGCTCCTCTCTGGTTTGGTTATAATAAACTGACTCATATCCACGGTAGCAAGTTCCGCCAAAATGTCGGATCGGCTTTGTGGAAACACAGAGAAAAAGCCTGTCCCTAAAGCTTAAGTTGGAAGAAATGTTCCACTGATAACGTGTAATTTTACAGAGAGGTATTTACATCCAAAGCTTGCAAATTTGAACTGGATGTGATCAAATAGAAAGAAGCAAAGTAAGAAAGATCATCCTTCTTGCGGCCAAATACAATTACCATTTAACCCACAAAAAAATTTAAAAAAAAAAACCAAAAACTTTATCAATTGTCACTAAAACTCTTTCATCGGGCATGCAAATAAAATGGCAACTCTTTGAGTAAAACAAAAAAGAGAACCACAAGAATACATAATAAGCAAGGTAATTTCAAAAAATCTGACGTGTAGGCTGGCATGCTGTTTATTGTAGTGAATAGTCTGACGGACAAAAAACATGAACATAACGAGAAACATCACTTGGGTTTTGTTCGTCACATAAATTTGGAGGTTTGGTTTCATTGTTAAAGCTAGTCTGGTAGCTAGAGGTACATGGTAAATGTACACAGCTTGTCCAAAAACTGTACACACATGTACATGAATATTTGAAAGCAACAAATGCACCAAAAAAGTTTTGCGAGTGGTGATCGACAATTTCATCACAAAGGCTCTAGAACTGCTGAAGGGAAAGGTTTCTGAATTTCAAGGAGTAAACCTGATGTTTTGTTCCATTAAAGGATGTTTCACAGGTGGTTGAAATTTTTCCCAGGTGGTTGACACTTAACAGTACCTGGTAGGTGTATAAAATAACATTTTGTACAGCAAACTTTGATTTATTGAATTGGGGTCACAAGTCAATTGTTTTGGCATATGTACGCATAGAGCATGGGATCCAATCTGCACTTGTTACCGGGTATATGCAAAGGGTCATGTCCTCTTTATTTTGGCAAGGAATTACCAGATGTACAGTTTGACATGATGCCCTTTCTCGTGCTGTTGATGACCCCTGCTGCAAAGTTTGGGGGTCTTGTCTGGAATGAATGCATTCGACACGAGGCGCTCCTCGGATATAGCATGACTCACAGGAAAACCATAAGTGCTAACGCAGAGCCTGGTTCATGACAGCTATTTGTCCTCCTTATAGGGAAAAACCATCGGTTGTATGGCAAGATGCAACAGCCAGGCTAGCTTAGACCAAGACCACCATCGTCCGGTGAAAGCCATGCCACATCTCCACTCCTACTTTTTGGGCAGAAAGGAGGTGGGATGGGAAGGTGTTAGAGGAAAGAAACGACAGGCAAATGGGCAGACAGACAAACAGCCCATGCGTAAATTGAGCATCCAACAAGTGCCATCCACTTTCCTTTGAGTAACGTCTGAAGTATCTTTTCCCACCCACAACCAACAAGAGTCGAGCTGGAATTAACAGAAAGTGTCAGTCGGGTAGGAAATTCAATACAGAACTGGATGTCCACGTCCGTGTTTGCCTGCATGTGGGCTTGAGAAAACAGCTCACAAAAAAAACATTCCCTCCCACACATCGCTTTGCTTCAAATGTCACACACTGCGCACAAGCAAATCTCGCTTCCTGACAATGATTGCAGTTGTTGCTAAAAAAGTGTGTCAAAAATTGATTAACTAATTCGGGCATCCTGTGCTGAGGTTTGGTAGCCCTGGATAAAGAAAAAAACTCCTCAGAGGAAAAAAACAACATCAAACTTAAAGAGGATTACTTCCAGAAAGTAATGTTGACTTCAACTAAACCATGTAAGTTAGGCATGTGCTACACATAATAGTACAAATACATGCAAGAACGAGAGGGAAAAATACTGTGATTGCAGTCTTTACGTGTACAGTAAAACATGCTGGAAGACTAACATGTGCATGTACATGTTTATGTACATGTATACATGTGACATAACATGTACTGTGTACATTTATACCTCAGTATGCATGATCGTATTCTGGTGATGGAAATATTCCTCACAGAATGCAAACAGAACAGTGAGAAAGCTTCAACGGAAAGTGTTCTTGTCAGATTTTTAATTTATTCAATTTGAGTCTTCCCTGTTTTCTATGAGGGGTTTTAATATAATTTTGCAATTGAATGCAATAAACAATGCTGATGCATTTACATGACGGATATCTCTTAGCATTTTGCCGTTACCACCCTTCTCCATAAATCAGTTTTTATGCAGCAGTTTGAAATAAACGCAACAAGTTCTCTGGCAATTACTGTTAGGTATCCTGCCCAAGAACACTCAACACAACAATCCACATAGGGAAACAGTTTGTGAATGTATGTTTTCCCCAATCACAGCTGTAGTGCTGAAAATCAATCCCACTGGGGGTTCTGGGCTCTGCACGTGATTGAAGACGTTTGTTGCTACGCGTACCGCACAAGTACCGTAAAATTATCCAATACCCTTTGATCCCAGGTATCAAAGCTACAAAGAGTGCAGAGTGCTTGTGCAAGACTTGAGTGAAACTCTGCCAAATACTGCCACATTTCCCCCTTGCTGGTTATGTGGTTAAATTACACTGGTTTTGACAAAGATTTGTATTTAAAATACTTTTGATTACATTTAAGACTTTGCATGGCTTAGCATCAGGTTACATCTCTGAATTACTGGCCACATATGTACTGTCTTGGCAGTTCACAGGACAGGTTGATCCTTAGCCATCCCTGTTGTACAACTACGGCTACTCTTGGAGACCGTGCATTTGTTGGTACAGCTCCTAGGCTTTGGAACAACCTGGCCTTTCATGTAAGAAATGCCACATCTGTTGACGCATTCAAGATTTGTTCCAAAAACTCATCTCTCTTAAAGAGGCTTTTTCCAACACCTAATTTTACACCTCAGCTAGTGATGGGCATTGTTATGCGCAGTTGAGTGTATTTATATAGTATCTGCACAATATAAAATGTTTCCTGATCATTATTATTATTATTAATTTCCAATTTGAAGAGAGATAAAAAATCTGAGAGTGTTTGGCAGCCAAGTGTGGGCTTTCACAATGTATATGATGCATGCACTCATACCAACACGCCTTCTTTGCCTTTAGACATGAAGTTCGGTTTTTAAGTTAATCCTCAAATTGGAATATCTGGCTCCGCTAGTTGAGTCAAGGTTGCATCATTAAATTGGACGCAACGTGCTCAAATTTATTACGGGCTTTGTGTAGTCGTCTGATGGCTCATTTGTCCATCAAAATGGTCTAACAGCAAGCAGAGTTGTAAAGACGTGAGTCAATGACTCGACTCGAGTCGCATTTTTGGGTGACTCGCCTCGAGTCTCTGCTGTAAAATGACTCGACTTGACTCGAGTCACAAAAATCAGTGACTCGTTACAACTCTGGTACACATGTGTATGTACATACATCAGCACATGCTTGTGTAAATACATGGTTTGAACATTGTGGCTACTGCAACCAGGGGCCAATTTCATGGAGCTGCTTAAGCATAAATTTTGCCCAAGTGTTAAAAACCGTTACTCAATAAAATAAGGTTGCTGGCCTAAACTCCATCTGATGTATGTTGGTTTTAAATGGTATTTAGCTATACATTTTGGTTAGCAAAACAAATACAGAGAGCTTGGGCCAGTGACCTTATTTACTGAGCAACGTTTTTTTGCATTTAAGCAAATGTTTTGCTTTGGCATCTCTATGAAATTGACACCTGGTGAGGCAAATCTCCAGGGCTTTCTCTTGGGATAAGCAACTACTGAAACCTGCAGAGTGATTTTACTGAGTGCAATTTTTTCACAGTTAGCAAATGTTGTGCTATGCTCCTCATTAATAAATTCAAAACAGCAAACAAATTTCTGTCTCTTGCTGTTTATTTATTATGTGTCCAAATTGACTCGGGCAAAATAAATGACTCGACTCGACTTCTCGGTGTGATGATTTGACTCGAGTTTCTGCTGTAAAATGACTCGACTCGGGTCACAAAAATCAGTGACTCGTTACAACTCTGACAGCAAGTTTGACATTCCACTGACAGGGAATCTATCTCGTCCACAGGTCTACAATTGACAACCATCCAGATGTTTGAATGTTAAGTTACTTTAGTTTAGACTGACATCATATTTTAGCTTGACTGGTTGTTATTAACCTTGCTTAGGGACACAAGGGTACTGTGACACCTTCATAGGAACAATGCTTGGAAAGATTACCAAAAACCATTCCAATGGCTAAACCCAATTTGAACTTACTAAAGACCAACTCCAACAGTTTTAAAGTTTTGAAAATAAACTACATGTATTATTGTGTTTAGTGTGTAATAAATCATATATTCATTACCAAATCATGTCTCTATTGCATCTGGATTTTTTGTAATTTCGCGGAAACTTTTGAACTAAAATTTCAACAATCTGACCGCTGACAGCGCTGTTTGAGAAACGGAATTTGTATGATGTAATACCGGAGAAAACATTGAAACTGGTATCCATGGCACGACTGGTTCCACTACACATGTACATGAACATGGAGCTACATGTGCATGCACCGTGTACCGGGGATTGATCAGTGCGCCGGGTCTACTGTGCCACGTTATCTCTTTTCCGTTGAGAATTTAAGCTCCTTTCTTCATGATTAACAATAATGCAGAAATCCTGGAAAATTCTGCAAAAGAACCAGGTTTGAAATTCTTTGACTTTCCAAAGAATGAGAGCATTCTTCAAGTTCGTGCTGTCATCCGCAGCTATGCATACCTAAATCACACGCACCATGGTATTTCCTCTCCATGGTAATACACCTCAGAAATCAATATTCATTAGATGCTAATGAGTCGTGATGTCACGTCCATTTTTACAATACTGGACTGGACTCGCAGGAAAAATTGGGTACAAAAACGGTGTTTTGTTATTACACAAAAACATGTACTGCAAGGGAGAAATTGATATGTGTCACTTCTTCTGAATTGGATTCAATATGAGAAAAGTTAGCATCGTAGGAGTTGGGCTTTAATGACAAAGGGCCTGTTTGTTTCGCATGGATCGTGATCGCGATCCCTGATCCGAAGTTGGTTCACTAACACCAGATCCCACGTAATGGACGGTGCAAACCAGCTTTGGGATCACTGATCGCAATCCCGATGCCTGCAAAGCAAACAAGCTCTAGGGGAGTATGTTCCCTCCTTCGACTGCTTAGTTTAGGACCACACGCACTACCTGCTGGGAAAAGTTTGAGAAGTGTATTTCCTCAAAATGGACTTTATTCCTGAATGGGAAGACTAACACGTGCACTAATAGTCCACACACATCAACTCGTTCTTGGTCTGCCCGATGATCAACAGTAGTGACACCGCAGATTCCTTTTTAACCCGTAACACTCCTCAGTCCTCCAACAGGTGAAGGATTGACGAGGGTTAGGGTTACGGACCAAGTCTCTTCCCAACAGAACCATTCATGAAACAGAAATGGACATTTTAAGTCTTTGAAATGCTCTCACAACAGTCTATGAACCCAATATTGCCATGGTCACAGAAATGTCCAGTTTCAACTAACAACTGATGACCCAGTGAACTGACAGGTGCATTTGTATTCAGCACTGACACAAAAACTTTGATGAAGTTGGCCAAATGCACATTCTGGTGCATGCACTGTGCAGTGTATGTCCCCGACACATTTTGTACATGTACATGGAAACAGGTGTGTCTAACATAGCGGTACAGTACATCTCCGACCCTGCATGTTTACCGAGTCTCCACACTGGCTCCTCCATCTCAAACAAATCATGCAACAAGCGTACCTTCTCTCATGTCTGTTGAAGGGCGTGGCCACAACAGGGGCCCTGAGGGCGTGGCCAGACCGGTTTCGGAGCCCCTTCATGCTTCTCTTGCGTCCACCAATCATGGTTCAGGCTATGCTGAGGGCCGCTCTAGCTACCAGTGCACATGTATGAGCAGTGCTACAACACAAGTGACAGATCTACGGTACGTTTTACAAGGAGGATGAGTCGGGGTGCTCTTTTTTTAAACACATGAGTAATCTTTACGTACGTGTGCATTATGAGGCCCTTTGTCTGGTCAATTAAATATTGGCCTATCTTTGATTTCTAAGTTCCTGAGACAAGAGGGAACTGCCAACTCCTTGAAAACAGAAAATAGTTTTCATTTAGCCAAACTTCCCATTTCGCACTGTTGTACAACTTTCAGAGTTATTTCTTTCTGGGTCAAAGTCTTTGATGACAAGAACTTTATCTTGCACATTCAATTTTTCCAGAGTTCTCTCACAACAATCAGAATAATACACATTTAAATAAACAACTGATATTTTTCAAAATTTTTTCACAAGTCTTGCTTCTAGAAGTAAATAAGTACACTACAATGTGCAGATTTTTTCCATTTAAATCAGTGAAATATTTGCTCCACTGTACGTGTAACGGTGCACAGAAAAAAAAAGACTTACCACAAATCACACACAGCACAGAAAACCTACAAACATGTCCACAGCCCTACGAAAGAAGCAACCTTTTTGCAGGTTCACCAAACCAAACTAAGTCTAGAGCGGAAGTTCGCCTTGAAAGACCTCATTAGCATCTCATGCATATAAATGAGCCTCTTGCACTATCTCCCTGAGGGGCCCAGCAAATACCCAACTGCTCTTGGATAGAAAAAAACATAAAGAATGCTCCACAACAGGAAGTCTCCTTTCCTATTGGCTGGACAGAGATAAAAGGTTAGAGTGCGCCAAACACAGCTGGGGGGACACGATGGGTGGGAGATGCCAGTCTGTCTTCGACCAGGTGGCTAGACAATTTGACGTACGGTATGCAGGAGGCACGATGATGCATGAACACGTCAGATACAAGTAATCCTCTTCGGGTGCATCTCTAAGCTGGGAAATCCTGCCATTACAAACACTCTACTGTCAAGAATCCTTCTCGCACGCTCACATGGATGCCCATCAACCACACACATGTACAGTACATGCACGCAGTGCTTACTACGGTATAAGACGGACATGTACGAAGGCTTTTACCAACGGAACGGGAGAGAAAGTAGGGGAATACATTTGAAGAATGTTACTCCACGCTTTAATAAATGAATTGCCGAGAGGCGATGCCTCAGTAGACATTGTATGCTGTACACGTACACATAAGAAGCAAGACTTGCATCCTGTTTGAATGTCACATGTTGGCATGATACATACATGTACATGTACGAACAGGTGACAAAGGTCACCAACACTAGTGACCTCTCATGTCACCTCAATTCATTTGTTTCAATCTTTAAATTACTGTAAAAGGTGCTACTGATCATCACATCCCAAGGTTTGCTGTACATGTACATGTACTTACAAAAATGTACATATGTACATGTACATGTCGGCATTAACTTGATTAAGACAAGCTTACGGAATATTCATGAGCATTTACGCTGGCACTTAAAAACACGACACAACAACGTGCAACTCAGCTCAAACTGTAGTACGGCGACTTTAAAACCGACGCCATAGGCTTTGGTTGATGAAACCTGCTCCAAGTGCCATAGATGTACACAAATCATTCTCAGACAAATCTGGTCTCCAGATGAGTGCATGATAGGCTAGAAAACACACATAACCGACCTGAAACCTAAACTCTAATAGGGCGAAAACATGTCCAGCTACAAACTATTTAAGGCGGAACAAAAAGTTATAGACACACCACTGAAACTTAAGCACCAGCGCATCACAGGTTTGACCATCACGCAAGGATGTACATGTACATTAACCAAGTTTGACCAACAGAGGGCTCACTTTACATTTTCTGGTGTGCACCTCTTGTTCACTACACACAGTGTACAATGTACATGTACAGTACATTGTACACAACTCAATAACTAAACATTTTCTGTACATTTCCACCTAAATGTGAGCGACTGTATATTTCTACATTTGGGGATGAAAAGCCTTTTCAGCCACTTCCAAAACTATACAGGCTGGCTCTCCAAACAAACATGATACTTCTACAAATGTACCTGTGTGTAAGGTACATGTATGTAAGTCAGCAAGGTTAAAAAAAGAATTAAACAAAATAAATTTCCCCAATAAATGAACAAAATAAAAAATGAAAGCCCTGAATGGAAGAATCCTTTTATGCTGTTCTCCATGCAGATAATTTCAGCAAATCTGAGACAAGAATTAAATGTGTGCCAATATCAGGTTAAGACATCCAGATATGGAGAGCAGGTGCTGTGGTCGAGTTTTTCTAACTTACTAACAGCCCAGGGCACAGCTGAACGAGGTGTGCTCAAGTTAGCCACCTGTAAGAGGCCCCTCTGCCGGGCCTAATGCCACGACGTACTGACCTGAACGTACAATCACACTGGAACTGTCATCAGCAGAAATTGCCCAAGGCAGCAACATCATTACCGAGACTTCCTACGGGCGCGAGGAAGACACTAGGATCAGTGATGTTCCTACCTTTTGGGCATCCTGTCTAATTGTCAAACTTGTGTCCTTCGTCCGGAGGGAAATGCCCGACAAATTTCAGGAAACGTCACACGAAATGCACACCAAGCGATCGTCTTACCCAAGGCTCTGTGTATACATGTCAGTGACTCACTCATTTTCCCCCTCAACATTGGCATATCCCTTGACAATGCACACATGTACATTGCAGTATATAAACGGGACAGTACAAAGATGCACAGTTGGGCAGAGCTGGACACTTTGAACTACATGCACTAGTAACAGATGCATCAGGCCTACACAGTGACTAAGTCTTCCCGGATTATGGGCCACAATAGATTTTTGCTAGCCAAAACTGATGTTTTGAACTTAAGTTCCAGTGAACAGGGTGAAGGTACATGTACGTGTAATCTACACGTACAAAGATGCAAGTAAACTTGCATTTCTTTCACATAATTTAATAATGCATGCAACTTCAATCTTTCTGAGATAGATCTTTCAATATCCATCCAGAGATTTAGAAGATTTGTCAGGGCGGAGGACGGTGGACTGTGAATTGAGGAGAGTCGACTGAGGACTGGGGAGAGTGAACTTAGGATGTTGACTGAGGACTACAGATTGAGGACAGTGGACTGAGGACAGCGGACTGTGGACAGTGTTCTAGCCAGGCATTCAAAAGTATATCGGGCCGATACACAGAGCAAAAACCCTGACATGCTGAAAATCCCCCGATACGCAATCGATACGATTCTATTTTCCTGGGGAATGCTAATATTAAGTTTACGAAACACTGCAATCAGAGATTTGAAAAAAAAAAATCGTCAAAAACACAGACAAAACGTTACCAGAATACTGGCAAAATACACCGAAATTGAAAGGAATTTCCACAACGCGACATAGTACACATGTCGTACACATGCACAAGTTTCCACAGTACAGCTAGCTCTGTGGAGACATCACGTACGTGTGGCATGCACAATACTGGTTCCCGCTGCGCCAGAGACAAATTAACAGCAAGAGTAGACGGGTTAGGAGCCAGACCACACCTCTGGATTGTGCACAGCCGCGATGGCATATCTGGCAGCACGGCTGTTGCCTGAACCTTTCAAATAGTGTCGCCTCAAAAACTATCGAAGTAAGCTACAACTAACTTGTAACAAAACTTGGTCTTCCTCTCTCTGTAGTTTCTTCTCAAATGCATTTACATCGATGGTTATTTTGATATGCTTTGCCATTTTTGGTAAGACCATGGTGGTTCGGGTACATGCAAGGTATTGTACCACATGGCAGCACATCCACGCACGGTCTTGACGTGTTTTTGTATCTGTACTGGGTATCTTCACATTGTAGTGTGGAACACAGCATTTTTCTTTATATTTTCAGTATCGTTAATCATTCTATTTATTATTTTTTTGGATAGTGTATGTTCATTATTTTAAGACCAAACTTGTTATTATTTTCGGCATAAACATCTAACATTGCAATATCAATAAGAAGAATAAATTTGGAATGATGCTAACTTATATTCTTTTTGACAAAAGTTTTAGAATCCAGCAATAAAGTACAAACAATGGTAGGGGCCT